ATGGACTGTGCAAGTCCTACTTAACCTCTTGGGTTTTCTCCTTGGCCATAGGATGTGCCTCAGGCCCATTTCTCTCCAGCTCTGTCGAATTTTCCCATGACTGCACAACCTCTGACTGGTGAAGCTCCACAGTCCTTTCCTTCTCCCCCAGTGCCTCCTCCAGTTCAGCATTTTTGGCTTTCTTCCTGCTTTTGATTTCTCATTTTCTTTTTCTGTCAAGCTTTCTGTGCCTAGCATTTCCAAGCCCAGAGAGCCGAGGAGTAGCACAGCCTCCGGAAAGATGTTGTGCTTAGAAATCAGGGCAGGGGATAATAAGCAAATAGCTGATCCTAAGATATTTTTCCCATGTAGATGTTTCCTCTTCCCTTTTGCTTGTGGCTGAGTATTGCAACAGATGACATTTGTCTGCAAATTACTACTACCTGTACTTCATCAGTCTGGGCCCATGTTTCAGTCAATTGGATCTTCAGAAAAGAGACAGTCTGATTTAACACCCCTTTGCTGTCTGAACCAAAGGGGGAAAAAAAATCAATAAATCAACATTTGAGAAGGCAGAGCGAAGCAGAGATTGTCATCTGAATGATACCCCATAGCAGTACTCAACCCATTCATGCAGTCTGCTCCCAGTGAGTGGAAGTCACTGAATGGGCTGAAACTGAATTTAGTAGATGCCAACCAAAAGAACAGAGTGCATGATCTGGTGTGGAGCCCCAAATCTTAACCTTGGGAAAAGACTGGCTAGACAAATGTGAGAACTGGGAATAGCAAGAAGAGGGAATGTAGGACTGAAAGATGATGGCTTAGCATCTCATTACTCACATCCCCAGCTCTGTCTCCACAGTGGTTTGAAACAACCTTTGCAGGCTTGTTTCTGATAACTAAAGGCAGAGAGAGAGATGACTACAAAGGATATTAGAAGAGAAGGGTGGAAAAACAGCAAGACTGAAAACAAATCTGCTTCCAGTGGGGTGTGGGGTTTAAAGAAGGGCAGTTCATTCTGAACTGCACTGTGCACAGCATGCTACACCGGCCAGTCCCTTACAGCAGCGCTTGCTATGCCATGGCAGAGCACGAATGGGGCTGGACTGTTAAGAAACCAGAGCCCTCTCAGCTTGCCTGGATTCCAGCCAGCAAAGGATGCTGTAAAAACCTGTCTGGCCGCTTTGGCAATGTGCACTATTTCCCATGGACGATGTAAATTTGCTGAGGCTAGAAAAAAAGAATGCCTATATTAGCAAAAAGCTGAAGGTAGTCTTGAGATCAAAGCAGGAAATCTGCATTCAATTCCCAACTCCAAAAGAACTTTTCCTTATGTGGTCTTGGGCGGACCAAGTAAAACTCCCATGCTTCATACCTGCACTTGTATAAGAAAAATTATTCTGCCTTCTGTTCTTTGTCTAGAATATGTAGACAGTGAGCTCTTGGGGAAGAGAAAGTTTTCCACCATGTGTTTGTACAGTGTCTGGCTCTTCAGGGCATCCGCCTTCAGTATCCTTTCAACACATATAACAAGGAATTAATAACAATAATAGTAATAATAGCAATAATAAATAATCATCTCACTCCAGCACACAAAAAATAACTTCCCAAGCTGACCCAGACACCTGAGACTCAAGACAAAATATAAGCAACGTGACTAGTGGGAAGTGAAAGAGAAAGTAGGAAAAATCTATCAGAGCTTTCCATGGTTCAATCCATCAGAGCCTACTTCACTGGGGAAACAATCAATGAACCTCTTCTAGTGGAGCAGCCGCAGACAGGCTGTTCTGGAGGCAGTAAATCCTTGCATTTGTTTGTTCTCAGTTTCGCTCAGCTTATTTACAGCCTTGCAGGAATTTACCTCCTTGCTTTTCCTCACTCCTCCGAGTTTCTCCCAACGATCATTCTGTTCATGCCGACCAGTGACTTCTAGGCCAACAGCTGCCAGCTTCACTTTGAATCCTTATTGCCCTTAAACTGTTTCCTCCAGGTATCTGGACTTTAACCTCTCTGAATTCCAGCTGTTGACGTATTTTGTCTTACTTTAAGGCGGAGGTTTTTGGTTTAGGATGTTTTGGCCCAACTAGTAATCAAGTAGCTGAGTTTGGCAAGTCTCTGCCTTAAGAAACATAATCTTAAAGCAGGCAAATGGGAGGGAGGTGACACCAAAGCTAAGGGATGATGCTGGGGGCACTCAGATCATGCATGGGTGAAGAAAGCAAAGGACAGAGAAGAGCACTGAAAATCACTTGGCATCTGTGGGAGCAGAGATCAGCCATCCAAACCACAGGCTAGGCTTGTTTGTCCGTTACATATTAGTCCATCTGCCATCACTGTGCTTTCAAAATGCAGTGGAACAAGAGACATTCAGGTGACTGCAGCATAAAGGCAAGACTAAATTGGTTTTCCTTATTTAAAAACTTCCTCTTTGAATAGGAATTTGCATAGAAAGCAGCTCTCAGCACTTCTAGGTAGCTCCTGGGAACCTGGAAGCAGATTTTGATTCACAGATGTCCTTTGCTCCTCAGATTGCATGCGCTGCCAGGACCGGTAGAAAGAGCTGTCTAACAGCTTTAATGCACTTGGATTTGTCCCTACAGCTTCTGCTAATGCCTTGATTGGTGCTATTGAAATCTCTTCTTAAGCATATGGTAATACATTCCTCACTGATGTTCTTGCCTTTCAAAACTCAGACCTGGAGTCATCATTGTCTGTAATAAGTTCACTCTGTTCCTTCTGCTTTACAGCCTGCCCATCCTTTGATGAAGGAATTAATGCTGTTCCACAGCAAATTCTGATTAGTTTTTGGATTAAGAAATGCACTTGCTATTGATAAGCCTTGCAAACTCTGTTTAGCATCTGAAACTCAAATGACCTTTGTTATTCCAAATGGATCACCAGTAATAACAACTGTGTTTGCCAGGGCTAGAGAATGTACTAATGAGCCTTAATTACCCTGAAAAGCTTCACCTGGGTCCCTCAGTAGGCACTCCATTTAAACTCCATCCTGCAACCTTCAGTTCTTGTCTGTGCTATGCTAGAGGTGAACCGGCCTCAGGTGTGTTCCTGGGCTTGTGCCTCGGCTGACCTTGGAGCAAGAGTGATGATAGGGCCTACTGCCCACAGTGTCCCTGGGGGGCTCCTGTGCCATCACCTCCTGGCTCCTCTGCCCAGGGAACAGCCCTGCTTGCCTGGCTTTGGCAGCACGAACATGCTGCAGCCCTGGAAGGGCTTTTAGGTGACTTTGTGGATTTATTTATTAACTGTTTGAGAGAAAAGCACAGTTGTTATTACAGACTATAATTCTTATGTGTTTTACTGTGTATGGAAATAAAAGGAAAAGCAATGTTTGCAAGTATGAGGTTTCTAGCTCTATTACAGCCTTAGAGCTCTAGTGGGCTTGAGGCAAGTACTAAACATGACCAACCCCTGAGTGTCCTCCCTTCTATTCTCTGTAGTGGAGCTACAGCACTTGCAAATATATTTTGCTTTCAGGTTGCTGTTCTGTAGCACCCAGCTTACAGCAGCTTCAGCTATGCTTCATCCATAAAGATGACTTTGGACTCTGATCTGCATTTTGTAAGAGCACTAAAAGGCCTTTCTGCTGTATTCCATAGGGTGGCTCTTGGTGATGATGATGGGTGAAAAGAACAAGTGTGTGAGGAACATCTTCCTTCGTACCACAAGATGATAGCATCTTTGATGGGGAGAGCAAGCCACGTTCAGAAGATGTGCTCCATCTCATCCCTATCTAAAGCTCAGCTGCAGTGAATAAGGTAGACTTGGTTCCCAAAATGGGTGGGGTGATGTCACGATGTCTATGCCACTTCACAGCAAGCAGTGTTCAGCTCCTCTGGACAGCTGGTGCTTCTGAGCCAGTGCCAGCAGTTCTCTGTGCCAAGAGAGAAATCCAGGCAACTAGCCTTTGGGAATGAGCTAAAACTCACTCTGCTTCTGCAGCACCCCGAATTCCTACCAGGATCTATTAAATGGTGTTGCAAAACCAGCCTAAAATCTTAGTTGGAACAGGTTGTGGAGACCTGTCCTCACTATGTGTGCTGGGCCTTGGGCACCAAGATGGGAGCAAGCCTTGATCTGCCTGAGGACAGGAAGGCCCCACAGAGGGACCTGGGCAGGCTGCTCACTGGGCTGAGGCAATGGGATGAAGTTCAACAAGACCAAGCGTTGGGTCCTGCGCTTTGCTCACAACAACCCCACACGTTGCTACAGGCTTGGGGCAGGGTGGCTGGAAAACCGTGTGGAAGAAATGGAGCTGGGGGTGTTGGTCGACGCTCGGCTGAACGTGAGCCAGCAGTGTGCCAGGGTGGCCAAGAAGACCAACAGCATCCCGGTGTGCATCAGAAAGAGCGCAGCCAGCAGGACAGGGAGGTGATCATCACTGTGCTCAGCTCTGGTGGGGCCGCACCTCGAGTGCTGTGCTCAGCTGTGGGCCCTCACTGCCACACAGACATCGGGGCCTGGAGCGCATCCAGAGAGGGGCAACGGGGCTGTGAGGGGTCTGAGCACAGTGGGGACTTATGGGGAGCGGCTGAGGGAACTGGGAACACGGGATGGGAGAGGGTGAAAGGCAAGGACGTGCAGTGCGTGTTTGTAAATGCTGCCACAATTCGGCCGAGAACGGGCTTCTGCGGGGCGCTGGGAACCCCGCCGGGCAGGGCCTGCGGCTGAGCACCGCACCCGCACAGCCGAGAGGAGCAGCAGCGGCGAGGCGAGGCGCGGCCCGGCCCTCCCTTCGCGCCGCCATTGGCGCCGCTGGGCTGGGCTGGGCTGCGGGGCGGGGCGCCGCTCAGAGCGCCGGGCGGCAGCAGGTGGCCGCGCTCCGCACCGGGCTCCGCGCTCCGCTCCGCTCCGCCTCGCCCCGCCGCCTCGCCGAGGCCCCCGCAGCAGCCAAGACGCCGCGGGCCGTGCTACGAGTGAAGAATGGGGCGGCCAAGCTGGCCAAGCCGCCGGCGGCTGCGGCGGGCGAAGCCCCCGGAGGCGCACCCGGCTCCGGGCTCTTCATGGAGCGGTCGCAGAGCCGCCTCAGCCTCTCCGCCTCCTTCGAGGCCTTGGCCATCTACTTCCCCTGCATGAACAGCTTCGACGAGGAGGACGCGGGTACGGGGAGGGGTGACGGGTGCGGGGAGGCGAGGCCGCAGGCAGCGCCCTGCGGGAGGGCTGTGCGGGACTGCGCGTGTCCGTCTGTGTCCGTCTGTCCGTCTGTGTCCATCTGTCCGGGGTTGCACGGCGTGCGGGGCAGCAGACGCGGCCGTGCTGGGCTGTGCGGTGCCTGCGGGGCCCTCCTGCCCCACCAGGTGCGTCGGACCCACCGTGTGCGTTGGGCTGGGTGCTGCAAGGGAGCCCGTGCGAGAATAAAGGAGGGATGTTTTTTTACGCGCTCGCCCTTCTGAGAGCAAAATCACGATGTGCAAGATGAGCAGCCGAAGCTTCAGCCCTCTCCTTGTGCTGAGCTCTCTCCTGTGTGAGGCATTAAAGGACGGCGCTGAGGGAGGAGGTGGTTTTGCTGCTGGACGTTGCGACCAGCCGACTGCTGATTTATGTGCAGTCAGCTCTCGGGATGATTGGTTAGGGCTGTCATTAGCACAGCGTGCCGTGCTGCTTTCAGGATGGGGGAGTGGGGAAATCGTTCCATTTAATAAGGGTTAAGTGGATCATGAGAGGAGTACAAAATCCTTTCAGAACGGTTGCAATGATTTCTGTCTGTGCCCATAAAATAAAGCCAGACTTTAAGGAGAGGGTCATCAGTGAGCAAAGTGGGATAGCAGTAGCAAAGGAAGGGCACTGGGAGTGGAGGGCAGCACAGCAACTAGATGGGGAGTGAGGGCGCACCAGGGAGTGGATGGAGAGGAGTGTATGAGCACTTCATCTATCCCCAGTGGCTCAATCCTAAATGAGTGATGCTTTTCACAGTACAAACTGTGCCAGAGACTGAACGTGAATCCTCTGAGCAGCAAATGATGAAAGTTGGTAACTAAGGCATGTTTTAGCATGGACCATGATGGTTGCATCCCTCAAAATGCCGGCATGCGCCTTTGTTAGCTCATCCCAGGATGTGCAAATGCCAGCAGGAATACATGGGCGAATCAGCAGTGCTGCACCTTTAACGTTGTTGTTTCTGGAGGAATTGACGTAAGAATAAATTCATCATCTGTGTGATTAACTTGTGATTGTCATCAGCATCTTGCAAGGATGCCAGGGAGCGGGCACAGGATTGCATCCCCCAATGGATAGATATTTAATTTTGTTCTCAAAATTCTGCTCGTTATTTATTTTCAGTTCAGGTTCGGTTTGAATGCGTGGCAATAACAGGAGCTTTGGGAACTCCTGGCACTGTTGCTTCAGAAATGATTAATGGTGAGACATGTTTGAGTACCAGAACCTGACACAGTGCCCTGGACAGCATTCCATTCCCTGGTGCCTGACCTCTTTGCTCTGTGCAGAGTGATGGTGGAGCAAATACCTTATGTTCCAGTGCCTAGAAAAATGGTTTTGCTCAGAACTGTATTTATTTATTCACACTTACTGAATGCTCATGCATGAATGCTAATAGGCTGTTCTTAATGCAACACAAGTGCTTGTTTCTGAATTAAATGAATCTACAATTAAGACCTCATTCTCCATCAGCTTATTAGTGGCTCTTGCCTGCCCGAGTTAGTCATGTTAGCAAAGCTGTTGGGGTGATGTTCAGTACATTGGGGATGTTGCAGTATTGTTCCTGTATTTTCTGCTTCTTAATGTGCATCCAGACATGTATGAGCCAACAGCAAGAATGAGTGTGTGCTGCTTTGTAATGTTTTTTCATGCTAAAAAGCCTGTAATATTTTTTTTTGAGACAGTAAATGTCATGAAAGGGAGATTTATAACAGAAATGATGAGACTGTGCCAGGCGATATTCTGTGATGTTCATCGCTATGCACAGCCCTGAAATAGTGAGATTCTGACCACTTAAAGTTGCAAAGTGATTTCTTGCCCCCTCTCTCCCCAGCCAGTAAAAATATATATGTATCTTACTTGCCCCATCAAGGAGATGAATGCTGCATTTGGCAAGGTGCTCTCCATAAGAGACAACAGCAAAAAAGAAAAAAAAAAAAAAAAAGTTGATCCTATGGGCACTGACAAAATAACAGTGGTATTTCAGACTGACACATCATCCATCTTGTCTGAAGCTGAGAACTGCATCTTTAAGAGAACAGTCATCCTATGGAAAAAAAACGAGGAGTTGGTGGATGACTGTGGCATCCCTGTGGAAAGGGAAAGCAGCCAAATGAGAGCTCATATCTACAACCAAGGAAAACTTTGAGCTTATCACTAAAGTTACTTTAAAAGGTGGGTCAGATGGAAGGGGAGCGGGAGGAAACTGGTCAGAGTGCCCGTGCTGAGAGGTGTGGTGGTGCGGGAGCTGCCAGCTGGGTTTGGTGGTACGTGTGGGTTCTGGTATTTCCCACATTTAGTCTTGGAAGATGGATCTGCTTTTGAGAAATGTTTTGACTCATAATGTGCCCTTTTCTGCACATTTGTTTCCCTTTTGTTCTACACTGTCCATCTTCTGGACAGTATAGGAGAAGACTCTTGTAATCTTTTACAGCTTTTCTGCCTGCCACGAAACCATTGAGTTTGAACTGATTTCTCAGCTGCAGAGTAGATGCAGGTGATACCTGCTTGTGACACAGCGCGCAGGAGAAGCAGGCCAGTGTGCATAGGACAGTGATGGGAAGAACCTGAAGTGAGAAAGTGGTAATCTTTGGAATGCTTCCAGAGCATGTGAGTGAGTGTGTGCTTGAGCCCCTGGTGTGTGCTGTGGCAAACAGGACTGTGTGCCTCTCTGCTAAGAGACCAATGTGGAGTGGCACTGAAATTTGCACTCCTGTGTTGTAATACCCTGCTCGTTCCTCAGCTGCTTATACAAAGAGGATACTCTGAGCAAACACCGAGCTCTGTTCACCAGTAAGCTGCAGTGGGGCTTTGAAATAACAGAAATTACTGTCTGCACTCAGTAGCGTAAGGACGCTAGGTTAATCGCTCTTTTGGTCTGCGAATGGTAATGTTGCCGTGCTTCCTGCTGGCTCAGTGCTGCTCTCTTCGCTCCGCCAGGGTCCCCATCAATGTCAGTGGAAGTTAACGATTTTGAAACTGCAGTTATTATCTGCCTAATTGTTGTTTTAGCTTATGCAAACGCCAACGCTCTGATAATTTTTCAGTTATTGAGTAGTAGGCTATAAAGAGGTTACAGAAAACTAAGTGCAGACGTCCAAATGGAGACGTACCTAGGGCTACGAAGTAGGTTTACTTACTAGGATCGTACGGGTGGTTCTGTGTTGCTCCCCTGCCCTGCTGGGGTGTGATAGGCTGCCTGCAGCCTGCCTGCCACCCAGGGCCCTCTGCTCTCCTGTCTTACTGGCTGCTGTCCATCACAAGCACACTAACTCTATTGTGGCTGCCCCCTCCGTGTGCACGTTTCTAGAGATGCGAGCCTGAAACCCTCCTTATTAGTAAGTGTGAACATAAATCTTGGTTGTTCTGAGGATCTGCCATGATGCTTTGTCTTGCCCTTGGCTAGAATCAGCTCTGCTGGTGGCAGCATGTCAGAAAGACCTGAACTGCCAAGTGGCAAGTGCACATAGGTTAAAAATAGTGTGCTGGGGATTTATGATGACTGTGGGAACCTGCCTTGTAGACAGCTTGTGAGGTCTGGATGCAGGTTGCAACTGAGGCCTGAGTGCTGCAGAAGGGTGCTTGAAAGCTCTTTTGCCCAGAGAGGTCTTGAGCAGTCTCACCCAGGACTGGGGACGGTCTGCAACGTTAGTAGGGCTGTTCTGCTTAACTTTTGCTTGCTGAAGTGAGGATTTGGTGGAGAGTAACAGTAGCAGACTTGGAGCTATGCTTGTAAAACCCAGCAAGCTCTAGGTGGAAGCAAGGAGGTGGCTTTGCTGCCAGGGACAGTCAGTGTAAGGGGGTTGGTGTCCGGGAGCTCTGAGAAGGGGTGGGCTCACATGCAGGAGCCTGTGTGACCAGGGACACAGACTGTACTTTCAGGCACAGGTGGGGCAATGCCTGCTTTGAAGTCTGTGGAATCTGCAGGTTCGATGGTGTCTCCTAAGAATGGCATTGCCAGCCTTGGGTGCTCTCAGGGCCAGAACTGGAGGTTGGGTTGCCCGAAGATAGTGCCTGAACTTCAGGATCCAGGAGCACCTCTCATGCCGGTGTCTGTTCCAGCTGTGCTGTGGCTGATGGGCAGACATGCACCAGCTCCTTTCTCTTCCACCCTGTGCCCCAGTTTCGTAGGGATAGAAATCCGGTTGCACTGATAGAAGGCACCTGAGGTATGCTCTGACAAGAGACAGATGCAGCTGTCTGGGAGATAAGCCGTGGCTCATGCTGCCCGTACAGCGGCACTGAAGACCAGGCGCACCGTGAGCATAGGGATGAGCTTGAGTGACTTCAGGATTGTACACCTATGGGAGCATGAGGAGCTGAGAGGCTCTGTGACGTACCGAGGCCGTAGCCGCATGGCGGTGGAGTCTGATGGCTTGGGGTCCCAGCACAGTGGCTGTGGAGGCACAGGGTGCAATCGTTCCTCAGCCAGCTGGAACTGAGGATGTGGCAGGGAGAAAATGGTTTCCAAAGTCAAAATGTCTCCTGGATACTGACAGCAGGCCTTCCTCGTGGCAGCTGCTTGTTCTGAAGAGTTGAGCTCGAGATGGAAGCTGCTCACACACACTATCAAGCACTGACAGATGCACTGCGCTGTGATCAATTGCTTTGAAGAGAAGCCATGTGAAATATTAATGTAACATTGAATGTTGGGCTGGGATAACGGGCTGGTTGTGCACTGTTAGGTTAGTGTAGAAAATGCTTTTGCCTTATCTGTTGGACTTCTCTAATTTTAACCATTTAAATTCTATATAATTTTAAACACTGAAGAGTCATAAAGTTATTAAGCAGATCTCCTATGTAGCTTTTTAAGTTTTAGTTGCCATGGATTTTTTTCAGTTGTAACGCTGTTTTGGATTGGGGTTCACGTGATCTGCATTTGTATTGAAGTTTAGTTCTTCTAGCTTTTATCCAAAAGATGTTACAGGTTTATAGGATGCTCTAAA